TCGGGGTATAATGCAGATGCTCAAAAAGGTAAGTAACAGAGGAGGACTCAGGAGGAGAGAATATGAAGGTATGAAGCAGAGACAGGGAGAAATAAAACATAAACCGGGAGATATGGAAAAAAACCCAAACTTGAAATCCTAAGAATAAACAATAGTCCTTAAACCAACCCAGTAGCAAACAACATCCCTAGGATGTGATTTAAGGGAGCTTTAGCTTTAGAAACAGAGAATAAATGCCAAAGCCGAAAGGGAGCAGGGAAAGTGTACTAGTGTTTTGAACTGGCTTCTAGCACTTTGATTTTTCAGACTGTATGCATGTATCACTTTAATAAAAATTAAAATAAAGAATTGAAAAGACTGCAAGAAATACCATTAATGAAGGATCATCTGAAGTGTATGCAGTCCTTGCTTCCCTTCCTTGGTACAGTGTAAATTTTATTCTTAGAAGGGAGCAAACCATCAGAGAGATAGGAACCAAGACTATATAAATTTTAACCCTTCGTGTTACTTCTTCTATTAAGTTACAATTTGAAATTATGTCTATCAGCCACATTGAAAAATATTATAAAAAATCAGCTATTTAAATAATTATGGAGTCTGCTGAGGACGTTGCCCACTGCATCTTTGCGACCCTTTGGAGTGGCTCTGGCCTCAGTACCAGGAAAAACTGGGCTTTGGCCAAGGAACAGGTATGTATCCAACCTCACAGCTACTGTAAATTCTGACTCAGTCCTTCAGCTTTGGCTGTTGGGAGATTTAGAGTAATTTGTGATTGGTTTCTGGTCACTTTATAGGATCACACGGAATGCCTTTGGGGCACTGACTTGCTTTTGTCTTATTTCCTGTCACTCTTATTTCACAAATCAACGTAAGATTTACAGCCATTATAGCACACATGCACATCTGCCTACATTTACGTACTTACACTGATACGTAGAGAGATGTGTACGGATGTGTGCCTGGAAGCCCTTTGGAGGCTTCTGAGTGGTGGGAGGTGTAATGAGACAGAACGCACTGCGGAAGGAAGGGAAAGGAAGGGAAAAAGGGTAGCTTGGACTTTGGGGTCATGGCCTCCAATGCCGAGCTAAGAGTCTGAGGTTTATCCTGAAGATTAAAGCCAATGGCAAATGTTTTCCAAAATTCTGAGCAAAGCAATGACATGGAAACCATGGTGGTTCAGAAAACTTACTGTAGGACAGTGTGCAGGATGGATGATCAAGGGGACGTGGAGGGCCAGGAGACCAATTAGGGGCTATTTCAATAATCCAGGAGTGAGGTGAGGCAACGGTGTTATTAGTAAACTGACAGACACCGTGTTTTAGAAGGATCAAACATAAGAGGCTTTAGGAAAGAAAAAGTGACATGGCCAAGAAACACAGCTTTTTCTTGCCACAAAGCAGGCGACATCCAAGGAAGCATGCTGCCTACTGCCCACAAACTTAAGGGAAAAATCAATTCCCACTGGTCTATTATTCTGCTTCTATGGCCTCGGATTCTGACCTGGGCAAACCACAGGAGATGCCAAATTGTTCCAAAGCCTCCCTTAGAAGGTAAGGTCTATTCCTTCCAGAAATTAAGCTGCTGATGACTAGAAATGACACCTAGCCCCACACATGCAAATCACAGCTGCTCTGTTAGGCCTCCTGCCTTCCTGAGACAGGCCAGCGCGTGAGTCCAGCACCATGCAGATTCAAGCACTGTAATAAATACTGCCTCACATGGAAACCTGGTGAGATGAATTTCTTAGGGTCCAAGAAAAGCAGAAAAATAATCTTGAAAACTTTAAGCCTAGGAACTGAAGTAAATTTAATTCTGACTGAAGTAGTTTTGAATTCATAATCTTTGTGGAATGCATTAAGCTGGATTCACTTGTGTCTTATTTTTTCAAAGCAAATCAGCAATACAGAGATTTCAGGAGGGATGTTTACATCACAAAACAAAACAAAATTCTCAGGTAAATAGAAACTTGAAAATATAACTGATGAGCTAACTGAAATCACGTTTCTATTCTCATCTCAATACACACCCCACTCACTTCTCCTAGGAAACATGTCAGAGAAACATGGGATAATAGAGCTGGAAGGGGCTTTAAGAGCATCCAATTTAATTCTGTTGTGTTATATACCGTGTTTGTCTTTCTCTGTCTGACTTATTTCAATTAGCATAATGCCCCCAAGGTCCATCCATATTCTTGCAAATGGCCAGAATCCCTTGTTTTCAACGGCTGAATAATCTCCCAGTGTATATATACGACATTTTCTTGAACCATTCATCTATGGATGGACAGTTAAAGTTGTTTCCATGTCTTGGTTATTGCAAATAATGCTGCAGTGAACATGAGGATGCAGAGATCTTTTCAAGTTAGTGTTTTCATTTCCTTTAGATAAATACCCAGAAGCAAAATTGCTGGATCATATGGTTGTTCTATTTTTAAATTTTTGAGGAACCTCCAAACTGTTTTCCATAGTGGCCACCTGGGTTTGCATTCCCACCAATAACGTAACACACAAGCATTCCCTTTTCTCCACAACCTCACCAACGCTTGTTATTTCTTGTCTTTTTGATTCTAGCCATTCTGACAGGTGTGAAGAGATACAGATGGCCAACAGGTACATGCAAAGACGTTCAACATAGTGACCACAGAGGAAATGCAGATCAAAACCACAATGAGATATGGGTCCCTTGAATGACAGATGATGAAATAAATCTGAGAGGTTGAATGATTTGCCCAAGGCCACTCAGTCTGTCAGGCACAGAATGGATTAGAATCTAGCAGAATTATTAAGTACCTTTTCATGTTACCATTTGGCCCATCTCTAACACAACATTTATGATGGTTAATGTTATGTATCAATTTGACTGGGTCACAGGGTGTCTGGGGATTTGGTTAAACATTATTCTGGGTATGTGTGTGAGGCTGCTTTTGGATGAGATTCACATTTGAATCAGTAGACTGCCCTCCCCAATGTGGGTGGGTCTCACCCAATCACTTGAAGGCCTGAGGAGAACAAAGACTAACCCTACCACAAGGAAGAGGGAACTCCTCCTGCCCAACCGCCTTCAAGCTGTTTTTTTCCCTCCTGCCTTTGGACTCAAATGAAAGCCTGGCTCTTCCTGGGTCAGACTAGAATTTCACCAGGGGTCTCCCATTTACCAACTGCAGGTCTTGGAACTTGTCAGTCTCCACAATCACATGAGCCAACTCCTTATAATAAATATCCCCCCACTACTCCTTTAAACACACAGACACACACACACACACACACACACACACACACACACACACCCCTGTTGTGCTCTTTTTCTGGAGAACCCTAATGCGATATTAAACATTTAGCTCAAAAGAGGAAAGAAAATGGTCTCAATGAACACGGTGGACACTGTAGATCAGCTATGCAAAAGCTACTCACAACCTTCCTCTCCCTTGTCTTCCTCCAGTTTAAAGGCTGAAAACCTAAAAATGTAGTTTCCTCACCTCTTTTACAGCTAACAGGCATCATACAATACAGTTCTGAACAATCAAGTGTAGGTGGAAATCCCTAGGAGCTTTGCCCTTTGTTCTTTGCTTTTTATTACTTCTTCTTCATGTCTAGAGCTTGGACATGCTGGCTGAGGGTTGAGGGCATCAGTCATCCTGGGACCATTTTAGTTGGGTTATCTGTTATTTTAGGCTAAGCCTTTTCCTAATAGACAATTTCTAACCCTATTTCAACTACACCAAAAAAACCCAAAAGTGAACATGACCCCAATTTTAATAAAATACAAGCACCTATCCAAGAAAGTTTTTGTGGGTCTACAATACAGATGGAGTGTAAGAGGCACTAAATCTAAGACCTCCCCTTCAAGGAGGCTGGTGGGAAGATAGCTTGCTTCTTGCCATTGCAGATTACGGTCTGGGTTGAAATCCCAGGGGATCCCCCATAATTCTAGCATGTGTGGCTGTCGCAAAAGGCTAAAGCTAAAGTGGACTGAATCTTGGGCAGGTATTAGCAGTGGATCCAACTTTTCCCATTTAGCACATTTATTTCTTTTTCATTAAAAACTAATCGTGTTCACTGATTCCTGCCTCATTAGAATGAGTGCATGGTCCCTTCTCCTTCAGGCAAACAGAAACCTTTCTCCATCGATCCTGGCACCAGAGACCACAGGTGGCTCTATGGTAGAGAGGAAGGAGCACTAGATTCAGTCAAAAGATCTAAGTTTGAGACTTGGTTCTGCCCCGTTTTCTTCACCCAAAGTCTCCCACAGGCACACCTCCAAACCTTTCTGAGTTGCATTTCCTAATTCACAATTATTGAGTTAAATGACATAGTAATTACAAAAGAATTCCCACAAATGCAAAACACTCTGCAAAAGTAAGAATTATTAATCAGATAACTCAACTGTGTGCAAACCAAAAGTCAATAGGTTCAATGTGAGGAAAGCACATGAATAATAAGAGAAAAGTTCATTATCTTTTTTTTTAAACCTAAGTTCATCCATTGTCTTTGTGGCATTTATTTTGGCTTTTCTTCCTTTCTCAGAGAGTAAAAGTTGCTAGAGATAAGTGAGCTCTCTCTGCCATAAGCGTTATAGCAAAAAGCCTTACAGAACAAATTTTAAGGAAATAAAAAACTAGGAATGACTCAGTACATTCACTAATTGAGCGGTAGCTTACCAGCCATAATGTACCCTAACCTCCCTGTTGTATGATCTAACAGCGCTCCGGCCTTCAATGTCCTTTTCATTATACGTTTAACGTCTATATTCCTCTAGAATCTAAGCTCCATGGATCTCTACCTGAGATTAAACCTCTCACTGCTTCGTGGGTGATAAAAGTTCAAGGAGATAAAACATGTGCCCCACAATGCATTCTTTTTATCCACCTTAGTTTCCCACTCTGCACTGAGAGTCATTTCTTTGTGGATTAATGAAAGAAAAGTGGGGTTCTCTGAGAGGTCACTGGGATCGTGCCTGGGAGATGCTCCAAGCTGGTCTCGCCCCCCCCCCCCACCACATACCTTGTCTTGGGTTTGGCATCGCAAACAGTCACATTCGAAACAGTACTGGTCCCTCAGCTGCTCCCGGCGCTCCTCACTGGTCATCAGCATGTCCAGGTAGCAGATGGTGAGCTGGGGGGGGCCACAGAGGAGAGGGTCACGTGGCTGTGGTGCTCATCATCTTTAACACATGCTTACTATCATTGCTGATTATTTAAGCAAAACACATTTTCATTACACACCAAAAAGCGCAAAAAGGAAAGATACAACTTACAGTCTCTCTATGCAAATAATCACTTGTAAAATTTTAATGCATTACCTCTAGTCTTTGTTGTGTGGTGAGCACCTGTATATTATATACTTACTTTAAAGATCTGGACTCCTGGCCTCTATACACTTTTACGCCTCGCCTTTTATCCACCAAATAAGAGAATATCAAGAGCTGGTGTGTGTTGGGTAATACTAAGCCTGGGTAGTAAAAGCTATAACCGCTTGCAAATAGAGAAGCCAGATCAATTCTAGCCCCCAAAGGGGCAGCAGATGACACACCCAGATGCTCTTAAATCCTAATTAGTCCTGCAGCCTCATGGAATTTGAAGTCAACCAAATTTGGTGGCTTTGAAGTTAGGAAACTGTTTTACTTGTGACTACAGAAAAAGGGGGCGCCTGGGTAGCTCAGTCGGTTAAGCGACTGCCTTCAGCTCAGGTCATGATCCTGGAATCGTGGAATCGAGTCCCATATCGGGCTCCCTGCTCAGTGGGGAGTCTGCTTCTCCCTCTGACCCTCCCTCCTCTCATGCTCTCTCTCATTCTCTCTCTCTCTCAAATAAATAAAATCTTAAAAAAAAAAAAAAAGGAATAATTTCCAAGTAGGGAGAACTTGGAATGTGATGTCAGAATGTGATCCTAGATGGAAGCTCTTAAGCTGACTTCCTTGGGCCCTTTCAGTGATTATGTTGTCTTGGATGGTGAAAGGTCAGGTTTCTCTGTTGCTGTCAAGTTCCACTTGGAGACACAGGTCTTTGGGTAATATTGCGATGTTCACACATCCCACACTCGACCAGATCTATATACGCTGAAAGGCTAATTCAATATACACAAAATGGCACTACTGATCTCCCCAGGCCTGTTCCATCTCTGCTGGAGCCGTCCCAAACTCAGCTGACAGCAATGCATCTTTCGTGTCCTTCAAGAAGAAACCTCAAAGTCATCTTTGATTTCTCTCTCCCTTTCACATTCTTTTTTTCTTTAAATTTTTTATTGTTATGTTAATCACCATACATTACATCATTAGTTTTTGATGTAGTGTTCCATGATTCATTGTTTGTGCATAACACCCAGTGCTCCACGCAGAACGTGCCCTCTTTAATACCCATCAGCAGGCTAACCCGTCCCCCCACCCCCTCCCCTCTAGAACCCTCAGTTTGTTTCTCAAAGTCCATCGTCTCTCATGGTTTGTCTCCGCCTCCGATTTACCCCCCTTCATTCTTCCCCTCCTGCTATCTTTTTTTTTCTTAACATATATTGCATTATTTGTTTCAGAGGTACAGATCTGTGATTCAACAGTCTTGCACAATTCATAGTGCTCACCATAGCACATACCCTCCCCAATGTCTATCACCCAGCCACCCCATCCCTCCCACCCCACCCCCACTCCAGCAACCCTCAGTTTGTTTCCTGAGATTAAGAATTCTTCATATCAGTGAAGTCATATGATACATGTCTTTCTCTGACCGACTTATTTCACTCAGCATAACACCCTCCAGTTCCATCCACGTCATTGCAAATGGCAAGATCTCATTCCTTTTGATGGCTGCATATTCCATTGTGTATATATACCACATCTTCTTTATCCATTCATCTGTCAATGGACGTCTTGGCTCTTTCCACAGTTTGGCTATTGTGGACATTGCTGCTATAAACATCGGGGTGCACGTACCCCTTCGGATCCCTACATTTGTATCTTTGTCTCCCTTTCACATTCTTGCCCAATCCACCAGGAAATTCTGTGCGTCCAACCTTAAAAATATATCCAGAATCAACCACTTTCTACCTCTCCCAATGTGACCGTCCTGGTCTGAGTCGCCTTCCAGTATCATATGACCTCACTGGAAGAAAGGCCTGGTCAGCCGACCAGAGCTGGCCCAGCCCTCATGGCCACCCCCAGGGTGACAGAAGCCACGGCCCGGTCTGGCTAGCTGGCTCTCTCTAGACCCTTCCCATGTTAGGCAACTATATCACACTGCTCCGAAACACAGAAATAAGAGTATCTGGCCTCAAGACGTGTAGGCTACGGTTTTACTGAACGTCTACTCCGTGCTAGGCACGGAGTGAGGCAGTGTGAGGCAGTGAAAATCAGCAAAGGTCTGGGATCCTTCGGGATTTGCACCCACATCCCTTGATTCAAGCCAGATACTCTTTCTATAATATGGCTGCTTCTCATCCTTCTGGGGGCTGAATGGAGACTCACTTCTTGAGGGGCTGCACCGGCATCAACCCTAAAATGCATAAGCCTGCATTACGTAGTGTTCTGTGACAACTGGGCTCCTTCAGATTTAAGTCCCTAAATCCCTTTTTTGCTTGTGATCTGAACCTGGGGCTGCCTGGGAGATGCAAAGGGCCATCATACCAGGCTTTGTTTTAGGATGACTCTATGTCCCAAATTCCAAATAACCAATTTCAAAGCACACTTTTGAAACCGCCTGCTAGTAAGTCTGGGGAAGGGTATGCATTCATCTTGTCTCAACAGGCTCTGAGAGCCCCGGTTTCCTTAAATGAGGTGATGGTAAAATGAACCGAACTTCATGCTCCCTCTTGGGTTGGCTCTGGGACTCTCCTTCTTAATCCAGCCCAATGGCTCTTAGTCATCAGCCCCTGCCATCAGATTAGATCACTGGGTGAGTACCATGTGCCCAGTGTGAAACCAACAAACCCAGGGCTAGAGAAAGAAATTTGGTTAACCTAAGACTTAATTACAAGGGCCAAAACTCATGAGTGATCACGCCAGGCAGTGAATGGGCAACAGGAGACTAGTTATTTCATTTAACCCCACTAACTAGACTCCAAGAGCCTCTGTCACTACCCTGTAATTGCCTGTGATCACTACCTGGACTGGGCTATGGCTTTCTAACGGGCCCTGGGTTTGTTGGCTGCAGGTAAGGCACACAAAGGCTTCCCCACTGATCTTCTGTCTGCCTTTCTAGCCTAGACACTTTCCAGTCTTCACGATTATATACACTGCGACTCCTCAGAAAGGGTGTGCTCGGTGAGAGCCGGTACTGAGCATCCCTGCCCCAGCTAGCTCGTGCCTGCCCTGCACCATCAGCTTCTTCAGAGCACTCTCAGCCGGCAAGCTTGGCTCAAACATGCCGCTTCCCATGAACACTGCCCCATTTGTCCCTTTTTGCCTCTTTCACATTCATCCAAGTTCACAAAATACTCTGTGTCAAAACTGAAGATCTCAATGGCAAAACATTTTTATGCATATTTTGGGGGGGGGGGGAAGCACCATAGGTTACTAATGGGCAATGACAGTGAAATCATTTTATCAGCCAAAGATAAAAAGCCTTTCTTGAAGACTCACTGGTTCACCACTTTTAATGAAGAATCTGCTCACTACATGTAGGGCTCATTTAGCAGGAACGTATATATGAAACTTGGCCATTGATCAGTGGATGCTTTAATGGCATAGAACAAAATCGCATTAAAATATTAATGCCACTGACCATTGCTTTGCCATTTTAGAGCAGCTTTTATAGGAAATGCAGTAAATCACTTCCAACATTAGAGTAATATCATGAAAGATATTTGCTGGATATTGGATATATTGCTTACTTGAATATTTCAAGGCAAAGGAACCCCTTTTCCATGAAGCCCATCTTTTCATTATGTACAACAGAATGGATAAGAAGACCAAATTAAAATTAGACTTCATTTTCATTTCTGGAATCACACAGTCACAATTACAAATTTTTCTGCGGTTACTGGCTCTGAACTGAAAACAAGACTGCAAATCTCACTTCTTTTTAAAATCACACCTGAGTGTTAGTGTTTCTCTTCTTGTTGTCACACCCTTGTATTCGGTCATTAGCAAATCCTGCTACTTTTAGCTTCTAAATATCATATTCTTCAGATCCCCCATCATGAGCCGCCACCTGAATTTGTCCTGACTTTGGGGCGCCATTGTCACCTCTTGCTTGGATTACTACATCAACATGACCCTCACTGGCCCAACCTTGCTTACACACGGCAAATCTGATCACAGTGCCTCTGCTTCAGTGTGGCCCCATTGCCTGTCCTCAACCCCTTCATGAATATCTACTGAGTGCCTCCCATAGACCAGACATTGTTAGGAGGTCCTTAATAAGGCCCCCGTGGGGTCCTACAATCACGTCTGGTCCCTGAATATTCCCTCATTGGCTGGTCACATTCAAAGTTTTCAGTCAATTGATAAGAATGCTTCCTACTCCTTGAACTCACCATTCTGCCCCTTGTCTCTGTGTCTTTGTCTAGAACGCCTTCACCTGTGTCAGGCAACTTGAACTCTATGGATCCTTCAAGAGTCTAGGAGTCCCTTCTCTGGAAGTCTTTCTTACCCGCTCGCCCACCCCTGCCCCCTACCACCACTTGGATGCCCCTAATCTGAACGTCTATAAAGCCCTAAGTACTTTATACTATTGTACATTTCATATTCTCTTACTATTTTCTGTTCTATGTCAGTTTCCTCGTTTATACCTTGAGCTCTGGAAGGCAAGGCTAGGTCTTACTCATCTTTGTATTCCCAATGCCCACCCCAGGACATGACACCCAATAAGTAGGCAGTGAATTTGTCAAATGACTTAGCACATAAGTAAAGAGGACTGAGAGAGAAGAAACAGACTGTCTTAATCCCACAACAATTTAAATTAAAACCAATACGAGGGATACTGACATGCTCAGTTTATGCAAATCATATTTTTCACAGTTGATACAGCTCCAGAGGATGCTGGTAGCCAGGGGCGTTATCTGTAACAGCTACAACCTCTTTTTACCAGGAATTTCCACAAGCGTGGCCTAGACTGTCCAGCTTTCTTCCCTGATCCATGTTTTAGAACACCATTAGCGGATAACACACATTTCATGGCTTACCAAAACCCTGAAGAGGCAGCTGTCAGCAATCCAGCATGAGGGCCATGCCTCAAACCTTACGATAAACCTCTCTGTAGGAGGTACTAGATGAGGAGACAAAAACCCCAAAGCAAAACCAAACCAAACAAACTAAACCAAACCAAACTAACAGACCCAACAACTCAGCATTACAGTGGAAATCCTGAAGTAGCAAAGTGTTATAGATAGTGCTGGTTTGAAGGGAAGGGTCTGAAAGTGGTCCAAGGGATGGGCTTCATGTGCGGAGAAACAAAGGGGTAGGAAATTTCCATGGTGACTTCTACTGTGGAACCTATGCAAATTCCCAGTCTCCTGGGCCAAGGTCTGAAATGGTCTCATCTCAAACTGGTAATGGCTGGCTTTCATGTTACTTTCTTTCTGGGGCCCATGGGACACACCTGAAGATTAGTGGTAGTTTTAAAAATGGCTCTAACATTCTATTCCACCTCTGGTTTTGTCTGCAGCAAGCCTTATTCACTCACTCAACAGATACAGAGTAAGGATCTTCTCTCTAAGAAGCACTATGCAGTCGTCCCTCATGGAGCCTGTATCCTGGGACTCACATCCCAGGGAGCATGTGCTAGAACCAGGGGCTCCCTGATGAGCATCAGAGCCAAGATGCAAAGTTGATCCTCTGAAACTGCCAAAAGCTTCTAAATTTACTTCCTTGCTCAGTTGAACTAAAGCAAATATTTGCACAATAAAAAGGAACTACCCCTCTTAACCTCAAAATGTCTTTTCTCCTGGTTCTCCCTCTGCCCCAAGGGGCAGTTTGAAATGTGTGGGAGGAATGTCAGGTGTTGGGGGTGGGCAGCTATAGGCATCAACTGACTTGGGACTCAGGACAGCAGCCTTCACCGACACAGTGAACCGCTGACCATCCAGAATGCCAACAGTTCCCTCAGGAACAAGCAATCCTGGGCTCCATGGAAGCTCACTTTAATGGAAGTCAAGTCAACAACGAGCCACAAATGCCTCCTCGGGGCAAGGCCAAGTACTGGGTACTAAGGGAGATACGGAAGTAAGACACAAGGGCCTGTCCTCATGACGCTTATGGCCAAACAGAGAAGTCACCAGAAGAGCCAGAATAATCTCAAAGAAAATAAAGGAGATCTCAAAACAAAAGACATTTCCTGTAATCTGGGAAATCAGGAAGAGGTTTATAGAAGGGATGATGTTTGAAAGAACCTGGAAGGGTGTGTGACATTAACACAGGAAAATGGGGGGGGGGACAACCGTGCAGACAAAATGTCACCCACCAAGACACACAATGGGGTGGGGAAAATTTTATTTTCTGGAGAAAAAAAAAATCAAGCTCATAGCCACAGAGAACAGATCAGTCGTTGCCAGAGGTGGGAGGGGGGTGCAAAATAGGTGAAGCAGGTCAAAAGGTACAAAGTTCCAATGATAAAAGTAAGCCAGTCCTAGGTATATAAGGTATAGCATGGCAAGTATAGTTAACAATACTGCAAAGCATATTTGAAAGTCACTAAAAGAGTAAATCTTAAAAGTTCTCATCACAAGAGAAAAAATATCTGTAACCATGTTTGGTGATGGATGTTAACTAGACGGACTGTGGTGATCATTTCACAATATACACAAACATCGAATCATTGTGTGATACACTGGAAACTTACAGAATGTCATATGTCGATTACACCTCAATTAAAATTATCTTCCAAATAGACGGTATGAAAGGACTTAGAGGGAGAATCCTCCATTTGTTGGGAAGCTGCTTTGATAATATCATGCGGGAATGTATCTGAGTCTGCAGGGCCTGATCCTGAGCACAATTATTTTGTGTCAAGCGAGAGGAAGGATTCGCTTGTTGCTCCAGAGATGGAAGGAAAAGGACATGAAAAAAGTGAAATCAGCACCAAGAAACAAGACTTTTTTTCAACTAAATGAAAACCAACCAAGGAAAATAATGGGCAACCAAGCCTAGAAAACAAGGCATAGGAAAATCTCTTTGTTGATCCTGAAAATGCCGACTGTTTGTATTAGTTTTTCTGTTTGCCTCTCGTTATTGATTTTTTTAATTTAGTAAATCATCCTCCTATCAGCAGCAGCGACATCGTCTTCGGGGATAGTCGGCCCTCAGCTCCCATACTAATGCTGCTTCAAATGGACAGCGCCCCCCTTTCTTACCTGCCTTGCAATCACATGTGGCCCAAGAATAAAAAACAATGTAATTCTCCATCTCGTTGACAGATATCCCAGTGTACTGAGCACAGGGGTCCTAAAAATGGGAAACCCAGTAAGTGGCTGTATAGGAGACAGCTTATTCAGTTGAAAATCAGATTGGAGGGAAGTCTTGTTGAAGCCCAATCCCTGTCTACATAAAATATGGTGCCCTTGAGTTTAGGTTTTATTGGTTGAGTGCTGCATAAATGCAATAAAAGCTTATGATACTCTGCTTTCCTTGCAATAAATATCCACTTTAGCAAATTGGAAGGTGGAAGGAAACTAGGTTCTAAAGAGTGTAAAATACCTATAAGCCCAAGTTCGGTGTGGTTACGTGTGCAAACCCTGTGTGGGCTCCGCTTTGGGAGCCCAGGGGCAGCTCATCCCCAGCTGCCTTGTAAGACCTGGCGCTTTGGAGAAGGACCTGTGGCAGGTTACAACTCCGGAGGGTCAAGGCTAAGTCACTACAGGAGGTTGTACTCCCTGGCCTCTCTGCCCTTTGCATCTTTGCTGAACAATTGCACAGAAACATTGAGAGCTCTGTAAAGGCCCCATGACCACATGAACGAGTAAATCTTGTTTGCTTTCTTGCCACAAAGATACATGAGTCACCTGCAAAATGGGACAACTAGCCCTGGGGGTAAGTAAGCCCTTGGGGTCCCATTCACAAGCCGGGCTGCATGCCTGCCCACCTGCCCACGAGGGATGAGCACTGGCCAGGATGCGAAAGGCTGGCAAACCGTCACATGCACTGAACATGGACACTCCGTCACACGCTCACACCCCTCTCTTGCACACACACAAGAGGACCTGCTGAGATCCAAAGAAATGGTGGCTTACAAAGGCAATCCATCTATAATCCTGGACAAGGACTGAGGGGAAAATCGGTCACTGGGTGGACGCATTATGGCTCTTCTCCCTGGTGGAACGATCGGGACAAGCTGTCCCTCAGGCACAGCTGGTTTCAGGGAAGGGTCTCTGATGAAAAGGAGGCCAGGAGGTGGGAAAAGCAGGTGGCTTACCTCCTCTCCTGCCTCGATGTCCCGGACTGCTCGCAGTAAGAGGTGGGGCCCGTTGAACACAATGGAACAATTGGGCTCACAGCTATGATTTAGCAAAGACATACTGGAGGAAAGAGAAAAAGAGGGTAGCATCACTCAGCAGACAGTCAAGCATCTAAAGTTAATGAATATAATCAGCAAAAGATACTTCAGCATGGGGGGCTGGGGGCAGAGGGGACAGGTAAGGTTGACAGGGCACCAGGGACTGAGGGCTCTAGGAGAAGTCCCAGAAATGTCACTAGCCCACATCGCATAACGCAAAATGCTCCCCAAGATGGAGGCTACTTAGGGAAGTGTGTTAACAAAAACCTTTTCTGAGTGCTTTCTGGGGGTGAGTGTGGGGGACAGCTGTCTCCTTAGATGGCAACCAGGACCCCACCAGCCTTTCTCACACAGCTCTGGTCTGTGCGGCCCCTTTGCAGGACCTGCCTGCCTCCTGAAGAATAACAAGAGTCCTCCCTCTTACACAGAAAGCCGAGGGCATCTTGCTGACGAGATCCTGGAGCGCCTGGAGCCCTGGCCCAGTCGTTTTAATATCACGAAGGTGGCTTTTTACCATCTGGGAAAGGGAATGAATTTAAGCTGCACCATACTGGATAATACTCAGAAGAACTGTAAGTGAGCGCTCACTGTGTAGAAAGCACTTTCTTAGCCCTTACACAAGTTTTCCAAATTCAAACATCATTCAAATCTCATGAGGGCCATTGAGAGATGAAGGAACGACCACGGGGAAGTCAACGGCTTGCCCCAGGACGCACAACCAGCAAGTGGGACCGAATCGGAACGAGGCGGCGTGAACTCCCACCCTGTGCTCTGACCCATCTTTCTCGGGACCCAGACCAACAGACCCATGATTTACAACACTTGTGAGAAGTGAGAAAAGCAGGTGAATTCTCAGGTTCACAACTAATGATAAGAAGGACTATATTTGTATTTGCACCTTCCCAGCATGAAAACAAAATGGACTGAGGAGTGACTGCAGTGTTTGTGGAGGGGACAGCCTGGCAGCTCAGGGGAAGAGGGTCCACCTCAGGAGCAGCGGCAGAGAGCACTTCAGAAGGCCAAACCCTGAAAGTCTGAGGCAATGGAGCTTGGAGTATGCTGAGCCAAAAGACCAAATGACCCCAGTGGGTGCAACACCATGAGTCTGGTGAGACACTCCTGTGCTTCTGCCCAGGAGGCTGGGGAACAAGATCAGGGCAGGTGGGAGAATAACCATTTTTTTGGGATTTATTTATTTACTTGAGAGAAAGAGCATGAGGAGGGGGAGGGGCAGAGGGAGAGGGAGTAGCAGACTCCTCTCCGACCAAGGACTCAATCCCAGGACCCTGAGATCATGACCTGAGCCAAAGGCAGACGCTTAACCGACTGAGCCAACCAGATGCCCCAACGTAATAACCAAGTTTTGTTAGCACCCACGATCCCCAAATTCTTACCCCAAGGCCCCCGAGATCAAGAATTTAGGTTTGAGGTAGGCTTCTTTGCTCATACCACAGCATATACTACAGGGTTATAAAATTCTTTTCTTTAAACTTAACATTTTCCATTTTCTTATAATTTATCATTAGGTTTTGAGCATTGCTCTTGAACCAGCTACGGCAATCGCCTTTCTGACACCTTCCACAAGGTCAGGGAGCTAGGTGAATTACAGTTGTTTCTTCTAGTAAATGAAATACCATTTGCCGTACCTCGGATATAGGCCAACACCAACTTCCTGCATCTCCGCATTACAGATGGTGAAAGCATTGCAGATCACCTGTAAAAACAAGGGGAAGACAATCAGGATTACCAGAGTCACCTAAGAAACTGCAGGCAAGAGAACAGAAATGTTCAAAATCAAATGTAGGAGTTTTAATACTTTAATAGTTGTTTTGGAAAGATCCAAGCCAAACAGGGATGCTCTTTCATTTGCAAAAGAAGGTATGTGGGACACACTTTCCTTAAGAAAGTCAGGTTAAGTGTACAACATCCTGTACAAAACCTCAGGCTTAAACCAGCACAGGGCCTGTTAATTTCAATCTAATCCTCTCCTCCAAAGTTACACAGTTCCATTACAGGTTTAAGTTTCAGAATACAAATAATCTATTTATTGAGCACTAGACTCCTACCACCTTGGATTTTCTTTTCGCCTCAAACTGCCTGCAATTTCCAAATGCCACTGTGTATCGTGAGGAACAGCAGCCTGTCTTTTATTCCTACAAAGAGGGAAGGACACCCTGAGAGAGTCTGCAATCCGAGCTGACGGACCACAAGGAGCACAGAAAGTCATTCATTCCAGCCATGGCATTTACTAGGGACATGGAAGGGCCTCACCGACTAGATAGCACAGTCCTATACCCTATGGGGAATGGGCCAAAAGGAATAGAAGATGTGATCACTGTGTTCAAGGGACACCAAAACCTATGGAAGGCCACCCAGAATCACAAAAAGAGCAGGACTTGGAATCAGACTTAGAATCAGAAACCCTAGGTCCTGGCCACACATTGCTGCCTCAGGCAGGTGCTGGGATGAGCAGTGAAGGAATAAAGCAAAGTTCCTGCCTTCATGAGACTTAAATTCTAGTGGGGGGTGGGGGTGCACGTTTGTGTCAGAAGAAAGAGCAAGTGCAAAGGTCCTGGGGTGCAAATATTCTTAGGTACAGAGTAACAGCAAGAAAGCTGGTATGGGCAAAGCAGGGCAAGGGAGAAGAAGAAAGGTGAAATATGAGATCAGAGTGGTAGTTAGATCGTTAGGTGCTTAGAGCTATGTCTAAATTGTTTTCTAAATGAGACAGAAAGCCACTGGGTTGCTTCTGAGCCAAGGCATGAATGGATAGGATTTCTGTTTGGAAGGATCACTCTGACGCGTAGAGAATGGGCTATAGAAAGGCAAGGGTGGAAGGAGAGGGAATGAGAAGCTCAGGTGAGGTTGGAGGCCTGGATGTCGGTGGCAAAAGTGGGGAGAAGTGAGTGGTGCTGCCAACAGGATTTATGACAGACTGTCCAGGGGAATGGAGAGAGTCAAGGATCAGGTTTGAGCATGGACCCAAACAGGCTCCATAATGTTGCCACTCATTAACAGGAGAAGACTGGGAAAGGAGCAGGTTTGGTTGCAGGGAGCTGGGAGCAAGGCCAGGGGCTCTGTTTCAGCCATGTTAAATTTGAAACAGCCTACTAGACATCCCAGCCAAGGCCAAGTATGAGCAGAGTGCCTGGAGTGCAGGGCAGCAGACGGGCTGGAGACGGACGCATAGGACAAGAAAGAACAAAGCCCATCAAGAAGAAAGCAGAAGAGGACACTGCAGACTTGAGATGAACCAGGGACCACAAATGGATGCTGACTTACTGTTATAGTCTCTGTAAAGGAAAAAAAGAAAAAGAAAACAGGCGACAACGAATGTCTTTAAATCAGGTTTATATAAAAGAACGTAAAGTATGAAAAAGCGCTCAGTCCTTTGAGACTCCTCCACTGCTCTAAAGAGCTCTTCTATGAAATCTAGTGCAACCTATCATGATTTAGCATTTCCTCTAAAAGTCTGATAAAACTGCAGTTTCAAATCAGGAAATAAGTTGGTGTATTTTAAACACACTAGTTAAATTGCTCTAAGGGCATGTGTTTCATATTAAGTCGCAAGAGTGTACTGCCTACACATATTTATGTATAAAATGGATGGTGGAAATGCAGGACAAAAGATCCTGCGTTTTCTTTTAGAAACTTTACACATTTTTAAATGGGTATGAATTTGGGGAAAGGGAATAGAAACTTTAACATGTATTTTTAAAGTGTATTCAGGACTTTACCAACATTAAGCCACCAATGAAACACCAGATCTAACCCATCTAATCAGTTAACTTTTTTTTAAGATTTTATTTATTTATTTGAGAGAGAGAGAGAACAGAGAGAGAGGGAACACAAGCAGGGGGATTGGGAGAGGGAGAAGCAGGCTCCCTGTGGAGCAGGGAGCCAGACAGAGGGCTCGATCCCAGAACCTTGGGACCATGACCTGAGCCGAAGGCAAACACCCAAAGACTGAGCCACCCAGGCACCCCTCTGTTAACTTCTGAATTAAACCAAAATGTAAACATTTTGTTTCTCCACTGTGAAGCAAATTAAAGGCTTTTCCAGAATAGGTTTATTCTGACAGAATTTTTTAAAAGAAAGAAAAAAGAGCTAACAAGGGGAAATGTCAACTTCCTCCAGGAAACTTTCCCAGATCCCTTGGACCTAGCTGATTTACTCATCTCGTTAGCAGCATTTATCATCCTGGTTCATTATTTACCCATTTACTTGACACCAAACACAACTCCTGTGTAAAATACTCAGAGGGCAGTGATGGTGGTTCCTTGTGTGAAAGACACTAATACAGGTTTTTCTGGGAGATGGATGGTTGTGTGGGTGTGGTCCTCAGTGTCCTCAGGAGGGTACTCCCTAGGACAGGGTCAGAGAAGACACCAGAAGTAAGTCACAGGTATCCTGTAGGTGTGGAAGAGCAGATACGAGATGTGGTTCCATACTCTGCCAAGGAGTAAGGAGAAGTTCATCTTCCATCTCTCTTGTCCTTTGGCATACAATCTGTTGATATCCCTGCTCGGATCTCTTTGTCCATTCTTGCTCTCCACTCTGGCTCATCTTTTGTTTCAAGCTCTTTTCCATTAGTCCAATGGATGGGACGACAGGCCTTTAGGCCTCAGAAGAGAGCAAAGGCTTGTTTGATCCTCTGCTTAAAATGCCAGGGGCCTGGGGCACCTGGGTGGCTCAGTCAGTTAAGTGACCTACTCTTGATTTCAGCTCAGGTCGTGATCTCAGGGTCATGAGATCAAGCCCTGCGATAGGCTCCATGCTGGGTGGGGAGTCTGCTTGGGATTCTATCTTTCCTTCTCCCTCTGCCCCTTCCCCACATTCCCCACCCCAAAAAAATGCCAGGGTCCTGATACATGAGGCACAAAATAAATGAAGGAATGAATGAATGGGCAATAGTCCCCACATCCCTCGCCTTCCCTCCTACTTCTCTGGCATCTTTTCCTTTGTTAACTTTCCTCCCTTCTTTTCCTTTTCCTATTTTCACTGGTACCTCTCTGCTATTCTCATTCTGCCCTACTCCACAATATAGGTACGATGTTTTAAAGTCCTACTGAGCCAACCAGACAAGTTCCTCTTTCATATTATTCTGAGAGGCATTGTGTGCCAGGTTTCTAGAGCTAAAACAGTTTAACTTTTGCCTACTCCCACTTTTATTAAAAATACTGGTTTCACTCACTAGTATATCCATATGTGCTCAAGTGAAAATCTGAAAGGAATTTCTCTTTATACCAAGAAATAAAAGAATGGAAATAAAGCCCAGAAATAAAAGTTTAGACACTTTTCAAAGTATTTCTTTGTATAAACAGTTTTCTTAGAAAAGTGCACAGTTTAAACAATTAATGAATGAAAATGCCTTTAGAAAAGCATATTAATGGGATTATTTCAATTAAAAAAACAAATTAAAAAATTCTAAAAATTAAAATGGAGTATTATGGAGTATTACTTTAAAATATTTCCCATAACAAAATTGAAACATACATTTAAATTATTTTATAATTATCAAATATGGTTATGTGTATTCTTACAATATTTCTTTTGAGGTAATCAAAAGCCTTTATAACACTGTAGCTTTTCTAGATAGTAAAACTCCACTGAGTTGTTACAAGTGATTGCTGAACCTCTGTATTTTGCAAAAAGCAAATAAGTAAAATTTTAAATATTCTATGAAACATGATAAAAATCCTTAACAAAGTAGGTTTAGAAGGAAAATACCTCAACATAATAAAAGCCACGTATGAAAAGCACACAGCTAACATCATACTCAATGGTGAAAACTGAGAGCTTTTCCTGTAAGATCAGGAACAAGACAAGGATATCTACTCTCACCCCTTTTATTTGACATAATACTGGAGGTCCTAGACACAGCAGTCAGACAAGAAAAAGAAACAAAAGGCATCAAATTGGTAAAGAAGAAATAGAACTTTCACTATTTACAGATGATGTAATACTATTTATAGAAAACCCTAAAGATTTCACCAAAAAACTACCAGAACTGATAAATGAATTCAGAAAGGTTGCAAGATACAAAATCAATATAGAGAAATCCATTACATTTCTATACACTAATAAGGAAGAAGGAGAAAGGGAAATTTGGAAAACAATCACGTTTACAATTGTACCAAAAAGAATAAAATGCCTAGAAATAAACTTAACCAAAAAGGTGAAAGACCTGTACTCTGAAAACTATACAACACTGATGAAAGACATTGAAGACAACACAAACAGAAAGCTATTTCATGCTCATTGACTGGAAGAACAAATATTGTTAAAATGTCCATACTACCCAAAGCAATCTACAGATTTAATGCAATCCTCACCAAACTACCAACAGCATTTTTCAGAGAACTAGAACAAATAATCCTAAAATTTATACGGAACCACAAAAAACCCAAATAACCAAAGCAATCATGAAAAAGAAGAATAAAACTGGGGGCATCGCAATCCACAATCCCAGATTTCAAGTTATTCTACAAAGCTGTAGTATTCAAAACAGTACAGCACAGGTGCACAAACAGACACATAGACCAATAGAACAGAATAGAGAGCCCAGAAATAAACCCACAATTATATGGTCAATTAATACTTATCAAAGGAGGCAAGAATATACACTGGGGAAAAGACAGTCTCTTCAACAAATGGTGCTGGGAAAACTGAACAGCTACACGCAAAAGAATGAAACTGGATCACTTTCTTATA